AGCCGGCCGCGCCGGGCGCCGGCCGACGCGGTGGGGAAGCCGAGCGCTGCGCGCGGGCGCGGGCAGGAGTTGAAGTTGCGTTCCCGGGGCTCGTTCTCCACGCTGCCGGGAGCAGCCCGAGAGGCGAGGGGCTCGCTTCGCCGTGCCATCGATTGGGCACCGGGCGCTGTTTTTTTTTTTCCTTCCCCCTCTCTTTCTTTCCCTCCGTCTTGTTGCATGCAAGAGCCTTGCAGCCCGCTGCTCGCCCGCCCCGGGCGCGAGGGCTCCAGCCCCGCTCTCTCCCGGCCATTGTGCAACCCGAAGATGAAAGACCGGAGGGGAGAAAGTTAAGGAAATCGCCCACATGCGCTGGATCAGTCCACGGCTTGGGGAAAGGCATCCAGAGAAGGTGGGAGCGGAGAGTTTGAAGTCTTTACAGGCGGGAAGATGGCGGACTGGAGCTGAAAGTGTCGATTGGGAAACTTGGGTGCTTCTTGTGTTTATTGACGATCCTCTTGACCCAGGCAGGACACATGCAGGCCAAAAAACGCTATTTCATCCTGCTCTCAGCCGGCTCTTGTCTCGCCCTGCTGTTCTATTTCGGAGGCTTGCAGTTTAGGGCGTCGCGGAGCCACAGCCGGAGAGAGGAGCTGGGCGGTCGGAATGGCTTGCGCCGCCCGGGTCCCGAGCGCTTCTGGCCCCGCTTCCCGGACGCGCTGCGCCCCTTCGCTCCCTGGGATCAGTCGGAATACGGGGACCCCAGCGTGCACGTGTCCCCTCGGCAGAAGCGAGACGCCAACTCGAGCATCTACAAAGGCAAGAAGTGCCGCATGGAGTCCTGCTTCGATTTCACCCTTTGCAAGAAAAACGGCTTCAAAGTCTACGTGTACCCGCAGCAAAAAGGGGAGAAAATCGCCGAAAGTTACCAAAACATTCTAGCGGCCATCGAAGGCTCCAGGTTCTACACCTCGGACCCCAGCCAGGCGTGCCTCTTTGTCCTGAGTCTGGATACTTTAGACAGAGACCAGTTGTCCCCGCAGTATGTGCACAACTTGAGATCCAAAGTGCAGAGTCTCCACTTGTGGAACAATGGTAGGAATCATTTAATTTTTAATTTATATTCCGGCACCTGGCCCGACTACACCGAGGACGTGGGGTTTGACATCGGCCAGGCGATGCTGGCCAAAGCCAGCATCAGTACTGAAAACTTCCGACCCAACTTCGATGTTTCTATTCCCCTCTTTTCCAAGGATCACCCCAGGACAGGAGGGGAGAGGGGGTTTTTGAAGTTTAACACCATTCCTCCTCTCAGGAAGTACATGCTGGTATTCAAGGGGAAGAGGTACCTGACAGGGATAGGGTCGGACACCAGGAATGCCTTATATCACGTCCATAACGGGGAGGACGTTGTGCTCCTCACCACCTGCAAGCATGGCAAAGACTGGCAAAAGCACAAGGATTCTCGCTGTGACAGAGACAACACCGAGTATGAAAAGTAAGTGGCTGGGCCCGGCTCCTGGGCCTCTTGCGGGGTCAGCCTGGGCCCTGCCCACCTTGTCCAGGTGTGAGGTTGGGGGCTGTTCCTGCCGGGTCTGAGCCTGGCACTGAGCAGCCTGGTTCAGGTGCGTGGCTAGGAGCTGGGGACCCAGAGTTTGAGCTCCTGGGGCAAACGGCAAAGCCTGGGGCACTTTCCTGGGCCAAGTAGGTGACTGTGTCTCCCTCTTGCTGGGAAACCCTTCAGACTCGTGTGTCTCCTTTGAAGGTGTGGGTTTGATCCAAGCTGGGAAACCGCTT